ATAAAAGAAGAGAAATAACCGTTCGAAAGTTCAGCCCCAACTTTTTCAATTGCTTAGCGATTAAATCGATCGAATTCATATTTTCTATTATTATCGATCATAATAGTTGAGAGAGAGAGAGAGAGAGAGAGAGAGAGAGAGAGAGAGAGATAATTTTCGTTAAACCGCTTTGAAAACTTCGATAGCTCGATAGAACTGGCATACATCGTAGACCTTGACGTTATAACTCAGTGCTACCGTAGCACACAGCGATAAGAGCGATCATTACGTAACAATTCGATGTGCATATATTACGAGGAAATGCGACGGTATCATGAGTATGCACTTGCAGTAGCGCGTGCGTCCAAGATACGATTGTGTAAAAGTGAAAATGCCCTAGGTTGAGCTGGGGTATCATCGTCGTCGTATCGACGATACACTCATTACGATTTCTCGTCACGCTATATGATCGTCGTCGTCGTCGTCGTCGTCTTTCTCTCTCTCTCTCTCTCTCTCCCTCTCTCTCTTTCTTTCTCTCTCTAATGAATTATCGATCGAGACAAGTTCCCCGTGCATTTCGTGCTACGAATCGACCAATTATGTCACGTTTTTCATACCTTTTGCTTTTTTTCTTTTTCTTCTTTTTTTGCCATTCAAAAAAAAATGAATATTAATGCATGACGTTTTGTCTTTATTCTCTCTCTCTCCCCGCCTCTCCCTCCCCCGCCAGTCTTTTGCTTCTCTTACATTAGATTTAGGCCGATCACGTGACAAATGATAATTAGCGGTGTAACGGTTTAATTGCCCTTTGCAAGCCGTGATGTCTGGGAAACGATCAATGAGAAGTAGATACGCGCACGCTCGCCATCCGTACCTCCACTCTGGTTGGTTGTTAATTCAAGCAAAGCCAAATCGTCCATCCAGTGGGCGTTAGAATTATTACATGGCGTTGCATAACAAGAAATCTCGCTTATTGCTCGCCGCTAGTTGACGTTTTATTTTTTTTTTCCTTTTTTTCCCCCTTTTTCTTTTTCGTACTTTCCGTATTATTAATAATACATAGCTCAAAGGATTTTGTATAATTTTGATAGTACGAAGGAATGAAAAGACGCGATGCTATTTCCCTTTTTGTAATTTTTATTTTTTTCTCTTGTTTTCTTTTTTCTCTTTCTCTATCGAAGATCTCTAGTAATATTAAAGAAAATATTATAATCGATCGAACATGAGAATTGTGCATTTTCCCAAGGCAGAAAAGACGAATAATAAATCTATGCTGAGAAGCCGCAGAAGATACGTACGAGTTAGATGTATAAAGGTGAAGGACGATGTGAGAGGGGTAAGGCGAGGTCGAGGTGAGCCCAGGCCCACTTGCAATTATCCGGTCTAATGAGTAAACAGTTTGCTCTCTCTCTCTCTCTCTCTCTCTCTCTCTCTCTCTCTCTCTCTCTCTCTTATCTCATTCTACTATTCCCACCCATCTACCTCTATCTTTCTCTCATTCTGTTACTCCAGCTCATCAGAAACGTGGGTACCTGACTCGGCCGTATAGTCAATCCTCTCGTTCCTACCTTTCTTTCCTCAACAACTTTGATCACAACCTTCACCTCCACCTCCACCTATACAGACACCTCATATCCCAATCCCGAATGACTCGCTTGATGAAGATTATCATATTGGTGTTTCTCACGAAGATAAAAAAAAAAAGAAAAAGAAAGAAAAAATACAAAAATACGCAAAGAAAAAAAGGGACGAATTTTCTCCAACAAGTTTGATTATTTAAAATGACGATAGATAAAAATTTCTTAAAATAATTCAACAAGGACGAAGAAAGTAATATCAACTCTAAAGGCCGTACCGTTATTCCATAGTCCAAAGTTCTCGTACGATGACACCTGGAGGTCGTCTTCGAGCATTGACCTTGATTCTTTGATTTTAGAAATAGAAATGATTCGTCGCGATGTCGAAGGAATTCCCATGAACAATGAGTCAGCTGTCGCGAAGGAAAAAGAACGACGAATAAGAATAAAACAAGCCCGAACACAAAGGGCAATGAATCTTAAATATAAATTGTCGAAATGCTCGTATTATTGCTCGGTACAGAGAAATCTTATGTTTTTCACAAGGTAAGATAATATTCTATTTTCAACAGAGAGAGAGAAAGAGAGAGAGAGAGAAAGAAAAAGTGGTACAAGGTGGACGTCGATAAATCGTCGCACGATTAAAGTCTAATCGACGACGTTGAGAATACATACGTACAGACATACCAACAATATAATGCGTTCCGAAGTGACTCAAGTATCGAGGTTTACGCGCGAGCGTATTGCCTGTCGACTTATGACGTACGATCGGGAATAAATACTTGAGGAATCGTTCGCGATCAATAAACGTCCGGTGATCGGTGAATCGAACGGACGTTTAGAGTTGTGACTTGTATCGATTAAATTGATATTAGTTGAAGATAAACGAAGGAGAGAGAGAGAAAGAGTAAAAAAAAGAGAAAGAAGAAGAGAGACACTTACAAATTTTCGATCGATCAAATTATTTTTTTTATAAGACGGAAACATATATATATATATATATATATATATATATATATATATATATATATATATAAGAACAGAAAAAAGAGAGATGAGAGAGAAATGATTTTCGATTCGGCACTTAGAGAAAAAGAGGGAGAGAGAGAGAGAGAGAGATAGAAAGAGAGGAAGGAAGAGGACGATCAAGGCGTCGTCGTCGTCGTTGTTGTGCAGCAGGATGCACCCACCCCACTACCATGACTGGTCGAGCCACGCCCGCCATTCACCTTCAACTTGGTCTCCTTCTCTTCGAGAGGAACAAACGAACAAACGTGTTTCGTTGGTGTTGCGTGCGAGCCTTCGTGTAAATGTAAGAACGTACACACGCAAAGAAAATCCATCGTTCGTGTCGACTGAAAACCATCGCAGAAAATTGCTCGCTTGCCTAGAAAAGAAGACGAAGAAGAAGAAGGCGAACGAGCGAACGATTCTTCTCTTTCTCTCTCTTTCTTTTTTTTTTTGATAAATGCCACGATCAAAACTAGTCTCGACAAATTGCCGCGGATTAGTTGCAAAGCAAAACGTGTTTCTATAAATGAAAAGAAAATTTTACAAGCGAAATTATTGAAAGATTTCTAATGTGCATTGAGTTGAAAGAGCTCATCTCTCTCTCTCTCTCTCGCTCTCTCTTTTTCTATTTCTATCTCCCTCTATCTCTATCTTTCACTCTCTATCTCTTTTTGTATTGTTTCATAGAGAAACATGGATCATAACGCTATGATGATTTATGCATAACGTAAAGATAATCTTTACAAACAAGTATCGTCGTTTTATCGAAGGCTGCATCAACCTTATCTGAACATAGAAAAATATGTGTAAGATCCATCGTTCTCGGTGCACGTGCAACGGGGAGAGAGAGAGAAAAAGAGAGAGAGAAAGAGAAAGAGAGAGAGTACGAAAGAAAGAGAAAGAGAGGTGTATGTTCGTGTGCTCGCGACCTTGAAAGGAAACGCTTCGATATAATCGTTACCGCGACTCGCCAAAGAACAAAGAGGCTGTCTACCGATAGCCACATGCACGAATACTATATATATAAAATATATAAATATATATATATATATATGTATGTGTGTAAGTATATATATATATATATATATATATATATATATATAGAGAGAGAGAGAGAGAGAGAATCTCCTCGGGCTACTACTATGCTTCTTTTCCATTGCCTTAAATACGTGTGCGAGTACAGAAGAACCGCCGCAGTGGAGTCGTTTAATGGCGCCGGCTTGTATTTATTCCGACAGTCCATAACTCTGCGATCCGTAATTGCCGTAATTATGCGACCACCGTCGCCCGTAATCGGTAAAGAATCGAAAGAAATAGGAAAGAAAACGTACGAGCATAACTATCATGAATTTCTTTCAACAGTCCGTCGATTTCGATTATTATCAAAAAGAAAAAAGAAAAAAAAATATATATATGTATATATATATATATATAATATATATATATATGTATATATATATATATGTATATAAAGGACCATGAAAACGACTTTGTCGCGTGTGGCTTTTCCTCGTCTACTTCGACCGACCATATTACGCTTCGTAACGCGAGATTTATTAACAGTCGGGATTCATTACGCGCGTTACGCTCCAACGAAACAAGTAACTAAGTACGCGCGTGATCTATAAAGTAACTCTAATATAGTATATATATATCATAAATATTACTAAAACGATCTAAACGTTCTATATGGCATCGTATAGAGCTACCGACACACATTTGCCCAAGAGTATATAGGTCTTATCGATAATCTGATTGTACACATTGAAAATTATCATCTCTTATAATATCTACTATAAATAAATTCAAGTAGAAATGGGAATGATGCTAATCTATTATAAATAAATAAATAAAAAAAAACGAAAGGATAAGATAAAGGAACGAGAGAGACAGAGAGAGAGAGAGAGAGAGAGAGAGAGAGAGAGAGAGAGGAAAGAGAAAAATACTAAAAAAATAAAATAAAAAAAATAAGAGAAAAGAAACATTATTCACCGAACGGTGAATTCCTCTTTTTTCTTTTTTTTTTTTGTTCTTTTTCTCTTTCTTTTTTAATTATTTTCCTAGACCAAGTTACGATCCCTATCGTTCGAAAGCATCGTTACCCTCTTTCCCACGATTTCCTGCAGGAAGAAAGGCTCGTCTTCCCGAATATCAATTTTCATGATCTTCGTCAAGTAGAGGAATAGAGAGCGACGTTTAAGCTCGTTGGAAAGCGACGGTAGTTAGAGCCACGGAAACGCCCGTTGAAAAGAGGTGAAGGCTGCCAGACACGAAGATACACTAGGGGCTTTCGTCCATCGTTATATACGCTACACATAAATACACATACACATACACACATACATATATATATATATATACACATACATAGACAGATAGATACATGTACAATACATAAAAGCAGCACGTAGAGATCGTCTTCGCGTTCTCGCACGATAGAAGACGCGATCCGACTAGCTGGCGGGCAACGCGTAATACGTAGACACTGTGTATACATAAGGCAGTACGTGGCTAGCGGCATTAAGCTGTCCGCTTAAAGAAGCTCTATGGCGATGCTTAACAGTGCATAAGTAAGTAAGTATATATGTATTTATATATGTATGTAACTAACAAGCCAACGTTGCATAACGTCGAAACCGTCGCCAGCGGTGATCTTGGCTAAACGTTAAGATCTTTCGATCATCTATCAGTGATTATGTTAACGTTATACCGATATCAATCACAATGTTTAATCAAATTATTTTATCTCTCCTTAGATAGATCTTCTTCCATCTTATCGATCTATTTTATTTAATACGATCTATACCGCATAGATTTTTAATTCTTTTTTCTTTTCTTTTCTTTTTCTTTTTTCTTTTCTTTTTGAATTATTATATATTGTGATATTATAGATCGGTACTCGTTAAATATAATGATGCTTTTCTATAATGATACAAAAGAAAAACGACACCCGGTAGATAGAGCGAACCACGCGACGTATCGTGCGACGTATCGTGCGACACGGGAGAAGGGCGTGCCTGCCGTCGTTGCAGACTGCGCAGTTTGTTGCACGCGTTGCGATCGTCCGCCGCGTGCGTCTGCATATGCCGAAGAATGTATGTATCGTACACATATGTATACATAGTAAAACTGCATGAAATTGTTACGAGGGAAACGTCGAAAAGAGAAAAAAAGAAGAAAAGAGAAAAAAAGAGAAACGCCAACTTCCATATATAATATTGAGTGTCAATTTTGCGATTTATCTCGAAAGTTTATATCAATTGGGTAAGAAATATAAAATAATAAGTTCGAAGTATGACATGAGAGAAAATTATCGCCCGGTGCCTTCGATTTTATTATTTTTATATGTTACGTACGTACCTATGTATGTATCTATGTACGTATGTACGAGACGATAAGAGAGATGAGTGCGCGAAAAAACATTTTTCGCATCTCTGTCGAAGTTTCGAGAGCTCGCGCGTGCCAGTCCGAGCTGTTTGCACCGAGCGGAATATTCAACGTAACAGCAGCGAGATTCGAAACGGGCTGGGACTACTCGAGCCGTGATAAATCACTGCCAGGAAGCTGGCAGGAAAAGCGATCGATAGCCACCGTAGATATATCCGATTTGAGAGTACGTCGTACGCTTGCTCGAGTACAAGAGAAAGAAAGAAAGAAAGAAAGAAAGAAAGAAAGAAAGAAAGAAAGAAAGACAGAGTGAAAGAGGGAGAGAGAGAGAGAGAGAGAAAGAAAGAGAGTAAAGAAGAGAAGGCAAAGTCCAGGACATTGAGAAACGAGATGTCGCTGAACAGCGAATCGACGTTAGATAAATCTTCTTTGCCCTCTTGCTTTGAATTCTTCGAGAATTGCTAAACGTTCTTATCTTTCTGATGAAAGAAAGAGAGAGCGAGAGAGAGAGAGAGAGAGAGAGAGAGAGAGAGAGAGAGAGCGAGAAAGAGAAAAGACAGAAAAGTCGATCCCCACCCTATTCCCATTCGATGGATCTATTTAAAAACTTTCGATTGATTTTTCTAAAGACGAGTTTAACTCGCTCGATATGAGAACTGGACCACAGTCGTTGAACTAGATCACAGTCAGACTAGTTCCAGACTGAGTTAACTCCACTACGATTACTATTAAACTAATGCCAGACAAGTTAGCAGACTGAGAGCATTAATTCCACGAGAGATTAGAATCAAATACCTTGAATTAATATTACACCAAGGTAAGATTAGATTAGCGGTAGACCGGATCACCGCACAGGCGGCATCGTATTCTACTCTGTCTGATCTCAAAGCGAACGTTTACCGAACTACAAAATCGACCGGCTCGATATTATTCTGTGAGGCATTATTAGTCCGGTGAGAGGGTTAAATGAAAGCGAGTTCGCTTTTATCGATATTATCCGAATACACTGATCTCTCTCATGGAGATATCATGTTAGAATCACGAGTAATAGCGATATCTGGTCGACCTAGTAATCGATTCGAAGAGGCAGTCCATTAATTCCAACTCGATGTAACCGAGTGGTATTCGTTGGAAATCCCTGATTCTCTCGTAAACGTGAAACAGGAATGAAAATAAAGAAATGTCGGAACGCGAGTCGAGCTTGCCTTGATCTAGAAATCGGTGCTACACAATCAAGAGATAGAGATAGAGATAGAGAGAGAGAGAGAGAGAGAGAGAGAGAGAGAAAGAGAGAGGTATGTGAGGAGAGAGAAAGAGAGAGAGAGAGACTGGCTCGATTTAACGGCAAATATCATCGTGAATGACGTTCCGACGCTGTCGAGAAGCTTGGAGCGTGTCGGTGGCAAGGGTCCCCCTGCTTCCGGCGAACCATATCCGGCAGAACGCCCACCTATATCTCGCTCCGACAGACCGTGCACACTCCCTACACTGCCCACAATTTCTCTCTATCGTCCACCAATTGCGATAGATAGTTCTTTCTGTCCCGACAAAATCATTCACAGCAAACACGACGCTTATATTAATCCTGTAATTTCGTATTGTAATTTATTTATAAACTTAAGAATACGAATAAACAGTGAAATTATTGATCATTCAATTATAGGTAATGTGACACTTGACACGTTTGAAATGAAAGTAAGAATAATTCTTTCTCTTTTTTATCTTCTTTCTTCTTTTTTTCTTCTTTTGTCAATAACTTTCGTGATGGTCATCATCATGAAACTATTCTTCCATTCTAGACTAAATCAATATTTGCGACGATTTTATCCAAGTATGTTCTCTCTACCATAACGCTCGAACGCTCTCTCATCCCAGGAAACTGTAGGCGTCGTAATTTATTCTCGCTCACGAAACCGTTGAAAAAGAAGAAACTTTCTACCCTAATGTCTATTCACCCATATATACCTATATCTCCTATTATTATTATTATTTTTTTATTATTATTATTATTATCGAAGTTAAAATTTTATTACAGAAAATAATAATAAATTAATGAAGATCTCATTTTCCTTGCTATCGAGAGATTCTTCTAGTCCTTGGACTTGAACAACTTCCTTAATAAGAGGTACACGTATAAGAAGAAGAGTTAATGATATTATGGAATAATAAAAAAGTCACGTGTATGTCCCGGCGCATGCCACCGCACGACACACAACACCAATAAAAACTAGCAAGGACTCCTCTTCTATGTCAGCTGTCTGCCATTTCGTCAGCGTTTAACTATCTCCGTTGGGTTGACTGTTCGATTTACGATCGGAGAACGTGCATTATCTCTTTGATACCTAATTCCTCCGTTAGAAAGTGAACTCTACTCGGCGCTACAAATTTTTCTTCGAAGATATAACCGAGGAGCGATAACATTCGTAATATTCAACGTAATTCAATGACGAAGTCTCATATAATTACCGAGGTCGTAATAAAAACTGACGATTAAATTAAATATACTTTATACATACAAATAAAATCGTTGCCTTATTATTTTTATTAACTTTGACAATGTTAATTAATCTACCTCGATTTTACTTGTCCCCTTTCTTCAATTGAAATTTCTTCGCCTCTTGAGTATTTATCAGAACAAGACAAAATAAAGGGAATAATAAGTAACTTTTCAAAGTCTCGTAAAAGATATATTTACGAAGACTCGCAATAATAGTTAATCAAAATTTAATATGATCGTCTTGGTGTTCAATTTAACAAAGGCATTGCGTCAGGTTTGCATTTCGTAAAATAATTTTTACCGCCTTTGTATATGTATACGACAATTTAACAAATAGAATAACTATTATAAATACAAACCTAAATACATAGTTAATCTTTTGTTTAACATAGATAGCTTTGATGAATCATTTATTTCTTTTTTCTAATTTTATTTTAGACCAAAATAATTGCTAGATAAATCACTAGAACCTAAAACTACAATACATATATATATATATATATATACACACGCTAAATGGCTGATACGAAACGTTTTTTTAAAAAAAGGGAGGACGTTACGTTTAATGCCGTCGATGAACGAGCCCGCGTGTGACGAACGATGTGTATTCGCTTGTCGTTAAAAATATGCGTACGCTTTGATGCATATTCATACGAAATCACCCTCGGTTTCTCTCCTCTCCATTCAATCGAAAGGGTAAAAGGCGATAAAAGACATTAAAAAAAGAAAAAGATAGGGACAAAAAGAACAAAAAAAAGGAAAAAAGAAATAAAAAAAATCGTGCAATAATCAACATTGAAAATGTATCTTTACTTTAAAAACTTCGTTAATGTAACGAGCGCCTTTGACACTTAAGCCGTGACAAATAACGGCAAGCGTAATTAGCACGAAACATTAATTACTTCGATTTTACTATTATTTTCTTAAATAACCGTTAAATCGTATTTTCATTTTTTCTTCTTTTTTTTATTTTTCCTTCCTCTTTCTTTCTTTCTTTTTTTTCCTTTACATGCTATCCGTGAACGATTTTGAATCGAATAGTTAAAATACAAAATAAAACATAGTAAGTTACGTTCTCGAGGTCAATGGACGACTCTCGATCGATCCTATTGCGTGTTCTGTCGAGTGTTTTTCGAGTCTCTTGTTACGCGGAAGGATGCAAGTGCTCCGTCGTTCAAACGATAGTACGTATGATGTTACTAGTCGTCATTGAAAATAAGAGATAGATAAAATGAAAATTAACTATATCGAGGTTATTCCTAAATCAATATGATCTGTGACTTGTTAAATATTTCAACAAAGTCATCCTGACTGTTATTATTGGCCTGTCGATAGAATATTTTCTTTTTTTTCTTTTTGACTTTCGATCGATTTTATTTAAACGAATTTAACTCGCTCGAAATGTGAACTGAATTAATAATATATTTTTTAAATTATTCCTCTTTTATCTTCCTTCGCGCAATAACGTTTTTTTCTATATATATATATATATATATGCATATGAAAATCTAAAAAAAATATAGCTATATATATAGGTATATTTTTATTAGAGATATTATTTATTGTTTTATTAAAGAAACGAAAAGGAAAGAGATACATGTACATTTTTATATTGAACATATTCAATACTTTTTTTTCATATATCTATATGCATAGATATAGATAATATAAAATGAAACGTTTAGTTATCTAACATTGAATATAAATTAAATTTAAATATTTCGAAATATTTATATATTAATGATAGCTTTATATAGGTATGTATATTATTAACTAATGAAAATGATTCTCTTCGTACGGTTAACAGGTCCGACAATGAATTGGCAAGACAGACATTTCCAAGGCACATAAGTCAGTCGAGCGTTAGAGCGAGCCTACTCAACCAATATATACGCTAACCATTTGTCATGCTTGCTTACTGCTTTGCTGGTGCACCGACTTGTGACTTCATAAACTTACGAGAGAACACCTGCAGCGCGAAGATGTCCGCATACTACGACTCAGTCTAGTGTCAACGAGCCTCTTAGCCAAACAATCTAAAGAACGAAAGAAACGTTTCGTCCTTATCGTTCATGTCGATGCCCAAACAAACATACCGTCGACGTTTTCTTGTTTATTATTGTATTGCGTACACGTAAAAACATGTAGACACGTGTTTCTTATTATTTTTTTTTTTAGTTTTATTATTTCTTTTTGTTTTTTTTTTTTTCTAACACCAATATCGAGCATTATGAAATTTTTCTTACGAAAGATGGATCGTGAAAAGGCGAAAAGAGAAAAGAAAAAGAAAAGAAAGGAGAGAGTAAAACATGGATACTTACGTGCTCGCTTACTTTGTATTTTCATTTGATCTCTATGTATTCTAAATGTATATATATATATATATATATATATATATATATATACCTATGTATGGTTCATATATATTTCACTTCCGGTCAGAAGTTATCCTTGTAATTCGCTCATTAGACGAAGTTATGCCGGGAGTAATTAGCGCTCGGCTAATCGACTACATTCTCCAATATCGTGCTTGGTGCATAGTAAACAGGCTTAGTGTGGTCGGAGTGCGAGAATCTATACGATATATCGCGACGGTAGGTAGGATATCATCGGGTTCGTAGCTAGTGACGCCCATTGAACTAGATTTTCGTTTGAGGTGAACGGTGAAAAGTAAAAAGTAAAATTCCACTTTCGTTGCCGTTACTACAACGTTAATTAACGTGTAGATAAAAAAAGAAAAAAAAAAAAAAGAAAAAAGAGGGAATACAAAAAATGATAGGGCCTTCTCGATGAAAGTTTTTCTTTTATTTCTTTTTTTTTTTTTTTTTTTTTTTTTTTTTGAGAAATCGAAAGAGTTCTGTAGGTATAGGTAATAAAGAGAAATGATCGATGATCAAAGACATTTATGATCAATTAGACGAGGCGTATAAAGTAAAATGTTAATAGTATGTACATATTTTTACAAAAAAAAAAAAGAAGAAAAAAGAAAAAAAGAAGAAGAAAAAAGAAAAAAAGAAAAAAAAACAAGACAAAAAGAAAATGATCGATGATCATTTAATGATACTTATGATCAATTAACGCATTAGAATTAAATGTAACGCGTAGAGTATAAAAAGGAGACTAGAAATTCAATAATATAAACCAATTCGAGAAAATAAGAGGACAAGAGGGAGAAGGAAGTATAAAACTCGAAGAGGACCTCATGCTGAGACGATCACGTTCCAAGGACCGGTCCTCTTTGGGTCTCTCTTCTCCTCCTCCTCCTCCTCTTACTCCTCCTCGTTGTACCTCTACCTCGTGAAACTCGGTAACGACGGCAACAACGAGGACGACGGCGAATCTCTCCGAACGGGATCGAAATGCCTCTAAAGAATTGGATTATCAATTATCCGACAAGAACCTCCTCCACGCCTCTCCCCGAACCTCTTTTCCTTGGCTTCAAGCTCTTCCCCCTTGAGGCGACTTGAACGCAGTACTGCGACGATTCGTTACGGTGTCGTGACTTCTCGTGATATATCTCGATGATGGCGAGTGGTAAAAGTAAGAGAACGAACGAACGAACGAACGAACGAACGAACGAACGAACGAACGAACGAACGAACGAACGAACGAACGAACGAACGAACGAACGAACGAACGAACGAACGAAGGTACGAACGAATGTACGAAAGAACGAAGGAACAGCTCTCTATACACGTAATAATGACGAGATATATACCTTTTAAAAACGTATTAGGAATTCTTTACATTACGCGATATCGATATGTCTAAATAATTACAGTCTCGAATGACGAAATATTTAATTTTAATTATTATCAATACATGATTTTCAAGACACTGCTGAATCTCATATGTCACGTTTTACGTACGAGAATTTAATAAAGCGTTTTCCTACCTTTGAGATATGACTTCGGTCTCGCGACCGAGAAAGATCTCTTCGTTAAGAAACGCATACAGATGCGTCTTATATATGCGTTGAGAGAAATAAGATGCACATGGAATGTGCTGCTACTCGCTCTTCCCGTGATCATCTTGCAAAATCTCTCTCTCTCTCTCTCTTCTCATCTCTTTTTTCTCTTTTCCTCCTCCTCCTCCTCTATCTTCTTCTTCTTTTTCTTCTCAAGAAAGAGAAACAAAAAGAGAGAGAGAGAGAGAGAGAGAGAAAGAGAGAGAGAGAGAAATGACTTGCGAAAAAGACAAGAAAGAATATTTCTTCTTCGAACTTTAAGTTATGCGATATGTTATCGATTACATGTTATTAATATCGATCTTAAAGTCGATTAATTTCACAAATATCTCCTTTCCTCGATGAATTAATTGATATCCACGAGAAACGGTGTAACGCATGACTGCCGGCATATAAATCAATGATAAAACGCTTGGTATATTACGTACCGCGAACCAAGCGATCCTTATCGCATCGACTTGTAAATTTTCCTTCTAATTCATAATTTAATACGTGACTCTCCCACACTACAGTGGCGTGTCATTAACGTGATTTTACCACTGCAAGAAGATCGCTGCACCTGTTAGTCGCTTATACGAGAACTTCTGAGAGAGAAAGAGAAAGAAGGAAAATCAACACAGAGGCAAAGCATGTGTATTTTCTCGAACATCTATCACTTGTGTCGGATGTGCTCGACATTGCATTCCTTCGTTTGATTTCTTAACAATATTTTTTAATGTCTTCCGAGAGTTAATTGAAATAGGTCTTATGTTTTCGAAATGATAATTTTCTCTCTCTCTCTCTCTTCTTTTTCTTTTTTCCGTTTCGAACTATCGAACTGTTTTATAAAGTTCACTTAGACCTTACTGAGATAACCGAATGAAACTCGATATCGGTTGTTCAATTAACTAAGCCGAAAATATCGATAAATCATCGATAAAATGATTTGTCCGATATATTAAACTTGTCCACCTTCCTTTCGTCGCTACTTCGTAAGAAATCTTTCTTCATCCGATCGAGCCGATCATTTCGGAGTTTAATAACTGATTGCATGATCGAACGATAACTCATTTACCGTCTTATTCCAGAGTAGAGATTCATTAACAAAAATGACCGTTCGATTAACGATCGCGCTTGGGTGGTTTCTTTTCTTTCTTTTATTTTTTTTTTTTTCATTTTTTTCTTGCCTTTTTTTTCCCAAAAGCAACTTTCTCATATATATATATATATATATATATATATATATATATATATATATATATAAAAAGAAAAAAAAAAAATATTAAATAATCGATCCACGATCCCAACGATCGATGGAGAATCTTTCATATGTCGTAAGTCTCGAAAAGTGAAAAAATAGAAGACGATCGATCGATCGATCGATCGATCGATTCCCTTTAGTCAAATCGACTTGATCTTCCGAAGAAAATCAAGGCACGTATGTACTTACTTACTTAAGTAGTTGACGGAAGAAATAAAAAAAAGAAAAGAAAAGAGAAAAAAAGGGAAAGAAAAAAGCAGAAATAAAAGAGAAACAAACACGCGCGTCACATTGAAGAAAGAAAGGAAGGAAGGAAGGAAGGGAGGAAGGAAGGAAGGAAGGAAGGAAGGAAGGAAAGAAGAGAAATAAAGAAGGGGGTAAGATTCCTCGACGGCATAGTCGATGGCGGTGCATCGTTTATTCAACAGAGCCTGCGATTTTCGCGAGTTTTTTCTTTTATTCGTGTAACAGTGGCTGAACTACCTCGTCCCATTTGTCCGTTTTGGGCGACAGTGTACGGAAGAAATCTTTCCGGTTTTGGTGGTATAACCGGTTTTACGTATCCCTATGTACCTTCTTTTTTTTCCTTCTTTTTTTTTCCTGTTTTCTTCCTTTTTGTCCTCCCTCCTTGCACAAAGAGCGAGCGATGCATCTCAAGACCCCCATGAACCTTTCTCCCTTTTACCTTTTACCGATGTATGTATATATGCATGCACGAGCTAGCTTATTAGACACCGAAGAGGCCACGATCCTTTGAAGATCTAACCGGTAATCACTTTTAATATCGGCGATTACGATGAATCATTCAACTATCGACTTTAGCTTCGACACTTGTAGAATACGAACATATGAATGTCCTAACATCGTCTTCGTCGTCGTCGTCGTCGTCGTCGTCGTCGTCGTCGTCGTCGTAAACGTCGTCGTCGTTGTCTTTTTCATCGTCGTCTTCGTCGTCTTGGTCGTTCATGAACATATGAAAAGACACATATAGGAGATAGATAACTTTGACTCATCCAAGACTTAGGCAAGCTTCATCCTCAACCGTTAGTCGACGTCCGATCTTAGAATAGGCCTTAACGCGAGTCTCTTCCTCTTTATTTCACACATCGAGCGTGGAGAGCCGTTATTGTAAATCCTAAGTAGTTATTCCGCAAAATAACGGATTTTATAATATAACGGTAGTAGACCGGCAGTGCACGTTGTGTTGCATTCTTTACGCTCGATCTTTCATTGCCTTTTCCGCGATAACGATCGTGTCTTGTCGGGAGAACAACAACGCGACAGCTGGTTCTCGAGGAAAGCTCTCTTTCTCCCTCTGTCTCTCTCTCTCTCTCTCTCTCTCTCTCTCTCTTTGTTTCTTTATTTTTCTTTAACATAGAACGTTCGAACTTTAAAAAGTTCGATAATAAAAATCGAAACGGAGATCTACGATGCGATTATTCGACCTTGAGGTAAAGAACAACTTTGGCTTTTCTTTTTCCAAGCTCTCTCTCTCTCTCCCTCTATCTATCTGTCTTTTTTTTTCCCTTCCAGCCCCCGCCCGTTCGTGTTAATTATTACGCTCGGAACGCATACCCGCTCGTTCGTAATTCTTACGGCTGCACTATCGCAGCGGTAGATTTAATACGTGGCATTCGAAACGGCGTGCAATAATCGTCAAGTACATAAACGAGATAATGTCAACGTTCAACGCTGTCCACCGAGATATATACGGTGGACGAGAGAGCTCGGTGAGAATCGGCGCTTGAATTTACACGATGTGCTTTTCTCTGAACGTTGTTTCGCAGTGGGCAATGACGTACGATGACAGACTCGATAAAATCGTTTTCTTACGGTCGATCGACCGCTCGTTCGCTTGCTCGTTGTTGTTGTTGTTGTTGTTATTGTTGTCGTTGTTCCTTTCTCCTTCTCTTTTCTCGATCCTCCTTCTCTCTTCTATTGCATCCTCAAAGATCGGTGTCATTTGTGTAAATTAAGATACGAAATTTTCTCGATCTTGCGAAACGCTTTTCAATACTTATCACTCGTCCCTTTTTACGTTATTTCCTTTTTCCACTTGTAAAAGAACTCAAGTTTGTTAAGATATGCGTGAGTGTGCGTGTGTGTGTGTGTGTGTAGGTATACACAACTTCTCGACGACAGGACAGCAGATAAATATCCGATCGGTCAAGAGAACCATATCGGTGAAGCTACGTGCCGTTTAAAGTCTCGCTGCGTTCTCTAGCAAAAGCACGAATGTCAGAAAAAGGAGTACACATTTTATCCCCGTAGAAACACGCCCGAGATATTCTCGTGACACGCGGTTGACAGACAACGAGAAAGTCCCTATCGAGTGAACGACGACGACGACGACGACGACGACGGCGGCGGCGACGACGACGATTACGACGATTACGACGATCTTACAACTAACGTTCGATCGTTTTATTCTCGACTTCTGGGAGACCATTGAGAATTACGAAAAGAAATTATATTTCCTTTTTCAACAACTTACGAGCAAGACGAATTTCATTCGTTCGTTCGAATATTTTTCTAATCCATTTTTAAACGCACATACGCACGTATAAGCCCATGTTGGAACTAAAAGGGTATTGACAGATTAGTTGTTGATGTGAGAAATATCGTCGATTTGTTGCCGATGAAAGGAAACAAGACGAGTCAAATTCTCAAAGCAATCCTCGAATAAACGTACACGCGAAAATGGTATTTCCGGATCTCAAACTGACAACGCATCTATCGGCAATAACGTGAAAA